AGAATCCATCAAAGTAACTTACACCCCTTTCCTTCTAACCCCCTAAATTTTTATTAGAATTGGACCTAAAATCCTCATCCAATCATCATAGAATCCTCCTCGAACTCTCGCTAGATGCACTCTCAATTATATTGGAATTATTTCCAAAATTGTTTCGGAGCTGAATTTTGCGTCTTTAATAATTTAAGCAATAATCATAAGCGACGCACGTATGTTTCAAGCCAAACTTAACTCTATAGGTAAACCTGGCTTAAGATTCAAGCGGAGATGAAGAAATCGGTCCTCAGAGCACTTTATTTTACATGAGACTATCGTAGTTTGTACTTTGGTATTCTTCTCTGATATATATATTGGTGTCATCCCTAGAATCCTTTAAAATTCTCTTAAAATTTACTTTGGATTTTTTAAAGTTCTTAATCATCCTTGAAAGACTTTTGAAAATCTATCTTGAGCTTGAGCTTGATTGACCGCCCACGGTTGCTACTCTGTTACTACCAGATCAGCTGTAATTACACAGAGAACCAATAGACGATGCTTGGGACTAGCAATCATCCTCAATGTGTAAAAACTGGTGATCTTAAATTAGGCAATACCAGCGCCGGCCGCGCCCGAACACAGGTCAAGAAAGGAATGGGAAGGATTGTGTTGACATGACACTCGCTTTGATGGAAGCCGAGAACACCTCTGCACTTCCACGAGGAATCACTGGGATGTTGGATAAGAGGGTTGGGTTTGCAGCAGGGTTCGTTTTGGTAAACGATAAGCTGAATTGATGTCCTAACGATCATATAACGCGAAGGAGCTTGGGACTAAACCCACGGTCTTCTGCTCAGTAAGCAAAAACGTTTGCCACTAGGCAGACGAGCACCTTTTTAATCACCTAGTTCCTGTTATTACCATGTAGTCATATTAACAATTAAAACGATTGACGAATCTTGAATGTGGATGGGCATGAGATTAGACTCATGATGTTCTGCTCAGTAAGCAAAAACGGTTGTTCTAAGGCCACCGAGCCCCTCATATCACATAATACCGTTGCTCAAATGTGTGTATCCATTCAAACCCGGAACCAACGACAACAACGAGTTTCGCAAAATACACGATACACAAGCGATTTTACCATAAATCTCTTTGATATGTAAGGACCTGGGACCGCGTTTTTCTGCTCAGTAAGCAGGCCACTGTAACCGACGATCTTTCAAATCCGAAAACTAAAAACTACGAAAAAGTACTTAGGCCTTCATTAAGTTCCACTTTCACGCGACGTTCAATGACAGGGTCCTATCCAGGATTACATCTGAAAAATCCAAATCTGACCAACGCCCACTTAAACCTGTTCTAATCCACCTGAAATGACTAACGAATGGAAGACTTTGACTACCCAGCCATGCAATAGTCTCATTCCGTGCCTTATGGCAACTTGATGATTCTATTGCGCTCATCGTTTGGCACCACCCAGGGGAGACTTGGCCCTGTACCCAATGCTTAACTTATCTCCATTCCACTCAGCTACTCGCAATTTCTTGTGATATAGTGGGCGGAATATTATTATATGAGACAATTCAATGCAGACGTCTTTCCAAATTTGGCAGATCGACAGGTAATCGGTGAGTTACCACGATAGATGCTATTCAACAACTCGATAACGTCCCATCGTCAACGCCTGCTATGAGAATTTCCCATTGCAGACGCCAACGAAATGACGTCATCGAGCTATCGATCAACTACCCTGGTTATCGCCTGGTACCTTATAGCACGATGCTAGGAGGCGAACCGGAAGAATCGATGAGCTACCTCTCCCCCCCTTGAAAGACTTTTGAAAATCTATCACAGACAAATAGCTTTGGAAGGCTTTCAAGGTTTACAATTCATTTTCTGGGAAATTTTTTTAATCGAAATTGAAGGAATTTCCCAATAGTTTTCTTGGTGTTCTAATGTTTTGTGGTTCACTGATCACCCTGGTTAAAATTTTAAATCTTTTAACAGATATGTATATTGTCAAAACTACTTTGACTTTCTTAGTGCCAAGTACTCAATTTAAACATATTGTTGAACTTTTTAATTTCACTCTATTTTAGTAGTGAAAAAGTGACTTTAGTGACTATTTTTAAAAAAATAGTGACATTAGTGACTTGTTGGTGTAAAAAGTGACTTTATAGTGACTGGCTTCAAAATAGTGACCAAGTCACTAAAAAGTGACCTGCTACCAACCCTGCATTCTTTGCATGGATGCACGCACTCATCAACTGTCATTAAACTGTGTTTTCAAGCTTTTCGGTATCAAAGGTTAAAAATCGATATTTATAGGTATTTACTATTTTAATTAATTCTATATTTTTGCCGTTTACCGAAGGCGAAAATTTAAATTTTTGGACTGAGGATGGCCTTTTCAGGACAGTCAGAAAAAATTTCTGGGGAATGTTTGAATTAGAAACCGAAAAAACTTCCAGAGAAATAAAAAACAAAATGCTCTGCTGAAGGAAGGTTGAAGAAAGTTCTAAGAAAAGTCGAGGGAGCTTTCAATAAAAATATTGTTAAACTTGTTTAAAATTTAAAGAAACTTTCGCAAAAAAAAAAATAATGGCACATCCAGAGGAAGCCAGAAAGGTTTCGGAAATAGCAAGCAAATTCCAGGAGCAGTCATTTCCAGGAGAAGCTAGAAGAAGCTCGGGAAAACTTTCCAATAGAAGTCGGAAAAAACTCCAGAAGAAGCTGTTGGAGAAACTTCCAAAGAAAGGCAAAATCGTTTTCTGGGAGAATTCGATAGATAGTTCTGGTAGATGTTTAAAGAAATTTTATAGAGAAGACGGAAGAAACTTCCTGGAGACGCTGGAAGAAATTTCCTGGGGTAGTTTGAAAGAAACTTCGGTGGAAGGGTTTTTGGAAAAGTCGATAGAAACTTCTAAAATTCTTCATTTAAATTTTTGGGGGATGTCGAATGAAATTTCCGGTGGAAATCGGTAGAATCTTCTAGAGAAAGTTAGCACACTATTCCAGGGGAAGATGGGAAAATTGACGGGTTAAGACGGAAGAAAGACAGGAAACCAGTTAGATTAGGCCTGGAGACTACAAATGGCTTAAGACTAATGGATCATGGTTAAGAAAGTGTTAAATAATTTTATAGTCTCACGAGACAGTCTATTTTCGCGGGAGACCCGATTTAGTGCCAAACATTATTAAAATGGCCCTTATGTATAAGCAATTTAGAATGGAATCTCATTTGTTTGCAGACCATTTGAGGACTGCTCTAGACAGTAGAGTTTCCCTAATCAGATAATTATTCTTCTGCTTAGTGCACAAACGGAGTGTTTTGTGAATTATTCCGCAGAGAATTTTTCTAGAGTACCTTCTATAGGACCCGACGTTTCCGAAGTGGCGGATTATCCAACTTTGACGTACCTCGGTTTTTTCTTCATCAACCTACTTCGGACATGGCGTATGGGGCAGCTTTGGGCAGTGAACAGAGGACTTCGCGCGATACATTTCGTCACGGTTCACTGAAATTAATATTTTATTCATGAATCCAATGTTTATTCAACTGAAGATGTTCAAGAACTAAGGCTTTGTTGCATTTGGAGAATTTTTACTTAAATTTGACGGAAGAAACATTTTCAAATAGCCCTGCTATTTCACCAGACTTATTTCCGACAAACAAGGAACCTATCAACAACAGAGGGAATAAATTAGAACTTTTTGCACGAACGGTTTTTCAACATTTAAATGAACCGCGACAAAAATTGTCCGGTGCAGCCTTGGTTCACTACCCAAAACTACTATGGGGCAATTTTTAGATAATACTAGAAAGTATCCCTTTCTTAAAGGCACCTTGATAAAATTCTGGGATGGTTTCTAGGAAATTTTTGATAAAATTCATAACAAATTCTGTAAAGAATTCCAAGAGATCAGTCAATTTAATTAACACCGGAGTGATTTGAGATTTAGGCGTAATTGCTTTTGAAAACAAACACGTCGATTACTGATTTCTCTTGAATAAAATCTCAATCTCACAAACAAACTATACCAAATGATAGAGGAATCATTCCTCTACCTCATAGTGTTATTACTTTTCGAGATTGAGCTTTTATTCGCGAGAAATCGGTGATTGACGTGTTTGTTTACAAATGCAATTACGCATAAATCTCAAATCACTCCGGAATTAGAAGATTTTTCAAGATCCCGGACACAGGAAGCAAAATTAACGATCTGAAGATTCTGACACTGAGAGAAAAATTGCTAGAACTCGTTTCGAAAATTAGTAACTCACAGTCTGAAGTGTCGTAGTCCTTAACTATGTTGAACCGGGAGGAAATTAATTTGGGACCAAGTCTGTATCAAACATGTAAATGAAAACAAATTTCATATCGCTTTACATGTTCGCACCATCTCCATTTATTTTGCTTATCGGGAGTTCAACGTCCTGCTAATAATTTCGAAGGTCATCTGAATCGTCATCAACAAATTCTCAGTTACACAAACCTATAACAACAGCCGGTTGACTAGGAAGTCAACGGCAGTGTTGTAAGGGTATGCATAATATGTAAAATTATTTCCGTCGATTTTATGTGCTTTTGACAAATGACATTGACATATTGTAAATTTATGTTAGAAGGAGGTAACCGGAGATTACACTATTAAGAGTTAGTACGCATGATTCGGGAGCTCGTTCATAAACGTTTTGAGATCTCGGTGTTGAATGATAGCTCCGAGAGAATGGGCTGACCCTGAAGGGCTTACCGGTAGTAGTACAACAGAATAATACACCATAGTTTTATCAGTTATCACTACCACACAGCATTGAAGTTGGTACCAATAATAGCAACACTACTCTCACCCCGACACATCATTAGTGTGGAATATCGTTCGTGCGTCAATATTCAAGGTCTCCGCACTCTTACTTCCCCACCGGGTGATATGATATTAATATATCATCTACGTTTATCCGACGTCACAGTTTGAATAAACGAAACCCGCCCCAAAGCGTATCTGTGTTAGGTACTTACTTGCCCTTGGGCATCTGATTGGCCCATTCCGGTTTAATCCACACGATCCGTTCGACGTGTCCGGCAAACACCGTTGGCATCATCCAATTTTCAATACTGATACTGTCCAGCAGATCCTCCTTGTTAAATACATATCCCGCGGGCATATGCTTTGGGATGCACATATCCGGATGTGAATCAAAGTGGATGATAGTGTTCCCTCGCAAGGGTAGATGCCGGGAACCGATACACCGATAGAGAAACGTTAGCACATCGTGGTGATCTTCCACGATGAAGATGGGGACCTTGGAGAATACACGTGCCGAATGGCAGGTCGTTGGCTCCTCTGGCTGGTCATGTTGACTTTCGGAACTTTCCACCGTCGTCGATGACGCCGATACCGATACCGACGTCGATGATGAGGCTGATGTTATGATTGTTGTTGTTGATGATGTTGCTTTGGCGGTGGTAGATCGTCCCTCACCGTCTTCGTCGCTCATCTTTACCAAACTTCTTCTCTCACTACACAGAATATGCTTCGATCAAACAATCTACGCCGTAGACGGTCGGTCCGTCCAGAACACTGCTGAGTGCTGCTGGCTGTCTTCTATCTGTCTATGTGTGACTCTTCTAACGTAAAATCAAGTCTCTCTCTATCTACTTGTCGTGACCGTGTGTGTACGTTTTTTTTCCGTTCCCTCCTCAAGGCCTTCCAACCGCTGATGTCTTTGACCTCTGAGCTGCTGCTGCCTTCAATGGGGTCGAACTCGGTCTAGCTGCTGCGCCGAGAAGTTTGCTAATCCACAGCCCACCGATCGAATCCCGGCCGGGTCGTAACCTGCAACGATACAGAATGATGCAGAACTTTCCTGCTGGGGGGACACTTCCGAAGAATATTAGGACATACGCGCTTTGGTACGTCCAAACTCGGTTACGACACTTCTAGAGCAGATGCGTACGAATTCTATCACTCACTGTACTGGACTGGACGACGACTGACAGAGGCTGAGGCTGAGAGTAGCAGCTCATAAAAATACAGTAACCCCTCCCTATATGCGGTGGGTGGTACCCAATGAGCTGAAAGCTATCGGTTAAAACGCTGTCCAGACTGGAGAGTTATAACAAGTTATAACGGTTGTCAACTAATTGCAACACAGAAACCACCATCAAGATAACGCTATAACATGTTATAACTCTGTAGTCTGAACGTACTATAAGTCTCGGGTTAAGTTGTGCCAATGAGGTACAGAGAGAGGTGGCGCAGATCGTGAAATAGAGTTGTATTAGTAAACCAAAAAATCAACGTAAACGCAAGTAGTGACGTCACTACTTGCGTGTACTTGCGTGTATCGTACAGTGGTTGTGTGAGTGATTGCTTCACCTCGGTAATCCAGCTCATTGAAGTTGTGCGAGTGAAACCCCTGTACGATACATGCAATGAGTGACGCCACTAATTGCGTTTATGTTGATTTTTTGGTTTACTAAGCAACAATATTTCTAGACTAACATTTGAAAAGGGCGTAATTCCAAAATGACCATATCGGGAAAATCGCTACTGAATTTTGATGACCTAAAAACTAATCCTATTTCACGACTTTCCATTTTCTGGATGATTTTATAAGCTTGACATATAGTTAATAGTGTAATCTATCATCATGCATGACTAAAAACTCAAAAAAAGTTTTCTTTGTCGTGAAATCGAGAAGAAAACATCATACGCCCTGATAATTTCATACATGTTGTTACCCCCCGGATCATCCACCCTTTGAACTGCCAACACTGGTGATACGCCGTGGAAGTACACCCTCGGGATATTTTGTTTGTTGTTCCGCCTTGGTTCTTCGTACGCAAATTTTGTGAGAGTGGCATTACACCCGGAGATTTTTTGGTCTTCTTTTTGTTCGTTGTTTACACGTGAACTATCAATCGGATGCATTTCAAATGAATCGGGCGTGACTAGATACTACAGACTCAAAACATTTGGCATATTAAAACGATATAATTCGTAGTTCTGGTGCAAGGCGTAACAACCAGATTCATCATAGAGTTGAAAGTTGGAAATACGCCATGTAAGAAGAAACGTTTTTGATGATTTGAAGTGATATTTTCTTCTACATTTTCGTGTTTATCGAGTAGTTTGTGAACTATTCTCTCTATATGTGGCAAAATATGGTTTGTTTACATTTTGGCTCTTACGCCCCTTTCAAATGTTAGTCTAGATTTCACGATCTTCTTCATCTCTCTCTCTGTACAAGAGATGAACTAGCCTCAGGCTAAAAATCTCTATAATAAAGAAAAAAAAAAAAAAAAAAAAAATCTCTCTCTGTACCTCATTGGGTGGTACCGTCCATCCACCGCTATTTCCCGGTTGTCCTTCAACCATTTGAACTGATTGACTACTCATCGTATATACGGAGGGGTTACTGTAGATTGCTACTCAAAATGAGCACCATTCCGCTAGTCAACACCGTCAACACGCGCGTATAGGGTTACTGTTTCTATTTTGGACATACTCTTCTTTTTTGGTCATTGATATGCATACTGCCGTGTGACAACAAAGTGACATATACGCCACTATGCCAATTTTCACTTTTTTGCATTTTCATATTCAGTGCCTTATTAATAGAAATTAAGCGATCGATTCAATCTCTGGTGGTGAATATGAGAACCTCAAAAATAGTGTTGTGAGCAGAATTTGTTGCCGTCACACCAAATTTTAGTTTTCATTATCAGTAAAACGGTTTGCTGGATCATGGTCAGCAACAAAAAAGCTTTATTATAAAACAGCAAACGATATTTTTACCGAAAAATTCAGGTAACATAAACGGTTTGCTTGACACCCAGTAAAGAGCTGTCAAACTGCTAGCATCACAGTCGCAAGTATTTACATTCTTAAGATTCGTATAAACCACCGAGGAGGAGGAGATTAACAAAACTACAAATATATAAAACTATGTTGGTAAGAGCACTGGTTATATTAAAGTTTAATAAACTATTCATGGAAAAGACACTAGGATAATAAATAGAGACAAAATTTATATATTTGTATCAAAAACCTTTAACAGAAGCTTCCAGCCTCAAGTGAAAATAAACTCGATTTACTGAGTTTATTCAGCAAAATGTTGTGAGCTGTCAGAATTTTTTATTGCTGAAAAATCAGTGAAGAAATTTTGCTGAAATTTTTGTTGATTATCAGTAAAATGTTTTCATTTTGATAGACGTTGGAATTGCTGGAAAATTCAGCAGCATTATTTTACTGGAAAGTTTGCTGATCTTTCATCAAGTCTAAAATCAGCAAAATTCTGCTGAGTTTCAGCGATTTAAATTTGGTGTGTGAGACATTGGAAAGCGGAACACTTTTTCACTTTTCCTGATAAATTGCCTATTATAAGCCTATTCAGTCAGGCTTGACGCAAAAGGAACTAGAATTAAATTTGAACCATTATTCATCATAGGGAAGTTTGTTTTACGAGCGTCACTTTCTTGCATAATATAAATTTAACGTTCGTAGATCCAAATTAAAAAAAAAATTAATTTGATGTGTCCTGACATTTTCTTGCATGGCTAATTGCGAGGGGGACGACACATCTAAATCTCAATTCTAGATGCTCAACAAATTTTACACTAGCAAATAAATCTTTGAAAAATCTTCTTTCAACTTGCATCTACTTGCATCGCACATCATCTTTTTACAGGAAATCTTCAGAATCGTCATCAATCTTCTTTCTATCTACTCAGCGTGCGCTCAGCTACCAACAACAAAACACAATCTTTTCTGCATCGTAGATAGAGTCGTCCCCCTCAGCTTTTTCATATGATGGATACACACTGAGATTCTTTTACCGAAATCTGTAAAATTTTACCGAAATCTCAACAGCTGAACGTTCGGTGATTTTTCACAGATTTTCTGTTATTTTTCACAGATATTCGTTGGAAAATTAAAGGTGAAAAAGTGTGAAAAATCACTGAACTGTTTACATGAAACGAAAATCAATTATTTTATTCATGTGTTTCACTTACACATTTTTGCCAAAACATCAGCCTTATACATTCCATAAGAAAAACCACGTAGGTCCTATAAGAATGCAAAAAAGGTATGTGTGACCGATTATACATTTCATTTGACACATGATCTTCATTAACTTTTTGCAAGGCGTCTGCTTATTAGTTGACTTATACATTTTATGAATAATCAGCAATAGAACTTTTCCAACAGGTAAAGGGTGATACGGTCAAAATTTGGTCAATATCAACTTGACGTATTTCTTTCAATTTTGCATTTAAAAAACCTGAACACCCCTCATTTTGAAGGTGTGTGTGTGTAGAATGTTGCTCCTATTTTGATTTTGGAATTCACTCTTCAGTTGTCAAAATGCCGTCCAAGCAAGAAGAGCAGCGTATCAAAATTTTGCTCGCGCATCGCGAAAATCCGAGCTACTCGCACGCAAAGTTGGCAAAATCGCTAAAAGTTGCCAAATCAACCGTTACAAATGTAATTAAAGTGTTTGGGGAACGTTTGTCGACAGCCAGGAAGTCTGGATCGGGGGGAAATCGAAAACCGGAAGCCGCTGAGACGACAAAGAGAGTTGCCGGTAGTTTCAAGCGAAACCCTAACCTCTCTCTCCGAGATGCCGCAAATAAGCTGGGTGTATCGTCTACAACCGTGCATCGAGCCAAAAAACGAGCCGGACTATCGACTTACAAGAAGGTAGTGACTCCAAATCGCGATGATAAACAAAATACGACGACCAAAGCGCGATCCCGGAGGCTGTACACGACGATGCTGACGAAGTTTGACTGCGTGGTAATGGACGACGAAACTTACGTCAAAGCCGACTACAAGCAGCTTCCGGGACAGGAGTTTTATACGGCAAAAGGAAGGGGAAAGGTAGCAGATGTTTTCAAGCACATGAAACTGTCAAAGTTCACAAAGAAATATCTGGTTTGGCAAGCCATCTGTACCTGTGGCTTGAAAAGCAGTATTTTCATAGCTTCCGGGACTGTCAACCAAGAAATTTACGTGAAAGAGTGTTTGAATAAACGTCTGCTGCCTTTCCTGAAGAAACACGGTTGTTCCGTACTGTTTTGGCCGGATTTGGCATCTTGCCATTACGGTAAAAAGGCCATGGAGTGGTACGCCGCCAACAACGTGCAGGTGGTTCCCAAGGACAAGAACCCTCCCAACACGCCAGAGCTCCGCCCAATTGAGAAATACTGGGCTATTGTCAAGCGGAACCTAAAGAAGACCAAAAAAACTGCTAAGGGCGAGCAGCAGTTCAAGGCAAACTGGCTTTCTGCGGCGAAGAAGGTGGACAAGGTGGCTGTACAAAATCTGATGGCAGGGGTCAAGCGTAAGGCCCGGCAATTCGGATTTGGAAAAGCGGAAGCCTAACTGAATATTTTTCCTGAATTTTATACTAATTGAACTTGAAAAAGAAATTTAATTTGATTTTTTAAATAAACGATTTCACCGATTTACACGCGTTTTCCCTTGACCAAATTTTGACCGTATCACCCTTTATAAGGAAATTTCTATCCGTGTACCGAACGTTCAGCTGCTGAGATTTCGGTAAAATTTCACAGATTTCGGTAAAATAATCTTAGTGTGTATAAAACGATTTTTTTTCAAAATTAAAGAATTCAATTAACCACTTTATTCGAGCAGATAAAATGACGTTTACTACTTCTCGAACTTTGAAATGAAACATTATTTTGAGATTTTTTCTTCTAGAACCTCGAGAAAAGTAGCCAATATTTGTTCGTTTCATAAAAAATAGAAATTAGTTGGTCCAGTTTTGTGAAATCGCTGGTAGAAAGTCACGCCAAAACTGCTTGACAAAGTGGTCAATTGTTGACAATTATTTCATCTTGTCAATTAGGGTTATAGCTATCGATTGAAATCAAACTGCGATGAAAATTTACCTTTTTTATTATGCCTGATCAGATAAAAGTATCTCCTGAACAGTTTTTATTTTGGCGCCTACGTCACATTGCTATCATACGG